CAAAACCAGTTCTCCTCAATTTTTTTAAGAATTGAAGAGGAGGGAGCACTCCCCAACTCATTCTATGAGATCAACATTATCCTGATACCAAAACCAAATGAAGACATAAGAAAGCAATATACCAATATCCCTGATTGATACTGACATAAAAATCCTAAACAAAATACCAGCAAACTGAATTCAACAGCACATTATAAGGATCACACACTATGACCAAGTGGGATTTATACTTGAAATACAAATCATTCAATATGCAGATCAATCAATGTAATAAACTACATTAACAAAATCAAGGGGACTTTTGGCCATGATGGAGGCCTAGGTAGGTACACATTGCCTCCTTGCACAACCAAAAGAAGGACAACAACAAATTAAAAAAACAAAAAACAGAACTGCCAGAAAATTGAACTGTATTGAAGTCCAACAGCCAGGAAGTTAAAGAAACATTCATCCAGACTGGGAGGAAGGGCAGAGATGAGCAGCTGGGGTGGAGAGGACTTGAAGCAAGGCTGTGGTGGGCAGTCCCACATTTGTGTGCAGATAAGCCAGAAGGAACAAATGGGGAGCAAGACACACCATGCAACCCAGGGTTCCAGTGCAGGGAAAGAAAGCCTCAAACCTCTGGCTGTAAAAGGCTGTGGGGGTTGTGGCAATGGGAGAAACTCCCAGCCTCACAGGATAGGCCCACAGGGTCCAAGAACATACAAAAATACACCCACCCAGGAATCAGCACCAGAAGGGCTCAAATTGCTTGTGGGTAGCAGGGGAAATGACTGAAAGCAGGCTGAGAGCTGAACAAGTGGCATTGTTCCCTCTTGGACCTCTCCCCCACATATAGCACCATAACAGAGCAAAGTGGGTTGCCCCACCCTAGCAAATACCTAAGGCTCAGCCCCTTACAATGTAACAGCTGCTCCGAGACAAGATATTTTGGCCCTAATGAAAGAATGAATCAAAGCTCTAAAATAACTAAGTGATGAAGAGATAGCCAATCTATCAGATGCAGAGTTCAAAACATTGGCAATCAGGATGCTCACAGAAATAGTTGAGAATGGTCCCAAAACAGAGAAAAAAGTGAAGGCTATGAAAAGTGAAATAAAGAAAAATGCACAGGGAACCAAGAGTGACAGGAAGGAAACTGGGTCTCAAATCTAAGATTTGGAGCAGAAGGAAGAAATAAACATTCAACTGGAACAGAACGAAGAAACAAGAATTCAAAAAAGTGAGGACAGGCTTAGGAACCTCTGGAACAACTTTAAACATTCCAACATCTGAATCATAGGGGTGCCAGAAGGAGAAGAGAAAGAGCAAGAAATGGAAAACTTATTTGAAAAAACAATGAAGGAGAATTTACCCAATCTGGCAAAGAAAATAGACTTCCACAAAGTCCAGGAAGCTCAGAGAGTCTCAAAGAAGTTGGACCTAAAAAGGAACACACTAAGATACATCGTAATTAAATTACCCAAGATTAAAGAGAAGGAAAGAACCTTAAAAGAAGCAAGAGAAAAGGAGACAGTTACCTACAAAGAAGTGCCCATTAGACTATCAGCTGATTTCTCACAAAAGACCTTGCAGGCAAGAAGAAGCCAAAAAGAAATATTCCAAGACATAAAAGGCAAAGACCTACATCCAAGATTACTCTATCCAGCAAAGCTATAATTTATAATGGAAGGATAAACTGCCTACCAGATAAGATCAACTTAAAGGAGTTCATCATCACCAAGCCCTTATTATATGAAATGTTAAAAGGACTTATCTAAGAAAAATAAGATCAAAATTATGAACAGTATAATGACAACAAACTCATAACTATCAACAACTGAACCTAAAACAAAAACAAACTAAGCAAACAACTAGAACAGGAGCAGAATCATAGATATGAAGATCATTTGTAGGATTATCAGTGGGAAGGAGAGGGAGGAAGAATGGGGGTAAAAACAGGGAATAAGAAGATAACTGGTAGGTACAAAATAGACAGGGGGAGGTTAAGAACAGTACAGGAAATGGAGAAGCCAAAGAACTTATATTTATGACCCATGGACATGAACTAAGATGGGGGGAATCCTGGAGGGTTGTGGGGTACAGGGGAGAGGGGAATAAAGGTGGAAAAATGGGACAACTGTAATAGCATAATTAATAAAATATATTTTTAAAACACAATTATAGCTAATAAGCCAATGAAGAAAGAAAATGTAATAAATATTCAATTAGTCTAAATAGTGCTAAAAAAAAAAAGGAAAAGCAGAATGTAGAATAGATGGAACAAATAGCAAGATGATAGATTTAAATCCCAGAATATAAAGATCGTATTAAATATGTGTTCTAAACACCTCCTTCATTAAAAGCCAGAAATAGTCAATGTATATAAAAAACAAAATTCAATTATATACTGCCTATAGAAGCTTGCACTACATATAATGACATAAGTAGGTTAAAAGTAAAAGGATGGGAAAAGCTATCTCATATTAACACTAATCAAAAGAAAGTTATTGGACTGGCTATATTAATATTAACATTATAATTAACATTAATATTAAATAACATGTAATAAGTAAACTGCAATGCAAAAGATATTACTAAGGATTAAGAAGGTTATTTCATAATGATACAGGAATCAATTTATCCTAAATGTTTATTCATATAATAATGGAGCTTTAAAATACATGAAGAGTTCATAGAGCTGAAAGGAGAAATACAGAAATTCCCATAATAGTTGGTGATTTCATTAACTTTTTCTCAATAAGTGATAGAAGTTGATAGAAATTCAGAAAGGATAAGGAAGTTTTAAACAATGCTATCAACCAACTTATGCTATCTAATTGATGTTTTAAAACACTCAGTACAACAACAGCAACATATATATTCTTTTCAGTCACACATGGAACATTTACCAAGACGTACCAGAGTCTGCTATAAATATCAATATATTTAAAAGGATTCAAATCGCACACATATATTCTCTGATCCCAATGAAATTTAATAATAAATCAATAATAGAAAGGCATCTGGAAAATTGGAACTATTAGGAAATTAACACAGTTTTAAATAACCTACAAGTCAAAGAAAAGAGCAAGAGAAATCAGAAAGTATTTTGGACTGAATTAAAATAATAAACAGCATTTCAAAATTAGTGGGATATACTAAAGCATAGTACAAGTTAGTACTATGAATAGGAGGGGGAGTCATAGTACTAAAAACCATGCTGGGGTTGGGGGGAGATCTCACCCAATGACCTCAGTTTCCTAATTAAAAAAATTAAAAAACGAAGAGCAACTTAAATTCCAGGTAAGAATAAGAAAGGAGAAAATATAGATCAGAGCTGAAAACAATCATATTGAAAACAGAAAAAAACTCAGTGAAATAAAAAAATGGTTATTTGAGATAAAAAAAATGATAAACCGTCAGTCAGATTGAGCCGACCTAAAAAAAGAGAAGACAAAAATAACTGATACCAAAAAAAGAGAGATGTGAGCTCTACAGATTCTACAGATTTTAAAGACTAAGGCAATATTTAAGCAATTTAAGCCAATAAATTTGAGAACTTAGATGAAATAGACATTTCATCTTGTCTTGTGAAGACCATTGATTTTTAAAACAAAATCTCAGTGTACTAAATTGCTTCCAGAATGCCATGCTACAGATTCTGTATAACATGAACATTAATACAAAATTAGCTTCAAACCATTAAATATGAAATTGGAATCAAAGCATAAAACAGAACATTAGGAATCAAAGTATTCTCTCACACATACAATTATAGTTAGTATCTTAATAAGCTGGTTTTCCCAAACTTTCTCTGCAGTTACATTTTAAACCGTCTGATTGGAGCTTACACTGACTTTCTACCTGGAAGCTAAAGACCTGTTTTTATGTTCTGCTTCATTGACTAGAGAATGTTTGACATCCAATAAATCCTTCTCAGCCAAGGAGTTTTGGGGGCTCTTCTCATCCTGCTCACTTCACCTTTAGTTTTCCCCCCTCATCTGGAATACCACGTCTTCTTTCATAAAGCTCAATTATTTTCAAAGCAACTTCAGTAAGCACTTTTATTGGACAGTCACATATTCACAAAATAATCAATGAAAATGTTATTTCCCTTCTTATTTTATAGATGAAAAAGAGGCTGCTAGGATGAGAACTGAGACATCTACAGAGGCTTAGTCAAAAACTTTTATTCTCAATTGTCCTAACTGGTGGAGCCACCAGGCTTCCTGGCTCTCTAAATAAACAGTTTTTCCTTAGCCGCATTCACCCAAACCTGCTTTTTTTATAAGCAGTGCTAGGCAAGGCTCCAGGAAATCGGCAGAAAAACAAGCCTCTCCTCTTGAGGTGGGACAATAAATTAGATTGCAACATGGCACAGGGAGCCGAAGATCTGAGGGAAAAGGGAAGAAAACCGATGGAGCAAAGGAATCTCCTTTTTTGACTTTAAAGATTTTATTTATTTTTAGAGAGAAGAGGAAGAAGGGAGAAAGAGAGGGCGAGAAACATTAATGTGTGATTGTCTCTAGCATGCTCCCTACTGGGGACCTGGTCTGCAGATACCCTACCTGGGAATTGAAAGGGTGACTCTTTGGTTTGCAAACCAGCACTCAATCCACCGAGCCACACCAGCAAGGGTGTCCTCATTTGACTTTAAAAATATTTTTTTATTTATTTTTCCATCATCATTTATCCCTAGTACCCATTATATGCCAAGGGCTGTGCTGTTTTCCTAAACCTTATATCCACTTCCAGGCAGGCTCTATCAGCCAGGAAATTAACGTGTCCAAGGTAGGTTTCCGGTGAAAATGGCATTTTCGGTAAGTCGACTTTCACTTGGAAATTTCAGTCTACAAGCTGTACCCAGGGAACCAGAGTTAGGTTGAACACTTTCCGCGTTAACCCAAGTCTCGCAGATCACTAGCCCAGCACCTCCCCAGGCTGAAGGCCCCTCACAAGGAAGTGGCTTGCGCGTGTAAGCTACGTCCTGGGAGCCCAATCAGCGACCAAGGCCACGCACCGCCTCTGGGTCGAGTCACGTGCCACTCAAAGATGGCTGCACCCAGACAAGTTGACTGAAGATTGCAGTGAGCTTTGGTGGCTGAGGAAGCCTAGAGGAAGCACCTACTTCTGGGAGGAAAGCATAAGGCACAGACCTTCTGGGGAAAGAGTGCAGTAAGTGCCTGGGTATCTGAAACACAGCACGGGAAAGAGATTCTAGGATTGGATTGGAAGGGGAGAAGAATCCGCCCTACAGCACCGAGCGTCTCTTTATTTTTCCACCTTGAATGAAGAGACCTTATATTTAAAGCCAATAAAAAAATTTTTAAAAACTTGCACTTGAATTTAACCCCTGGTTTACTGCCAGTTTACTGGGTAGCTTGGGCCTAACTTCATATTCAGAGGCCCGACTTTTTTCTCATTGCCTACTTCGGAGCTGTTCTGAGTGACGTGAGATAGCGAATTCAAATACTAAAGTATTTGTAGAATTTAAAGGTGACGTTGTCTTTGAGAGGAGTTTACTGTTAACAACAGGGACAAAATGACCTATTGTGGATTTCGAGGTCAGAACGTTTACCAAATTAAGGATGACTTTTAATAGCCACAGGGCATAAATGGGGTAGTTCACAGAACTCAAAACCTTATCCATATACAGAGCATAGAACGTAAAGAAAACTAATAATAGCATTAGGCCGGACTTTCTGGGGCAGTAATTTCTTTCATTTCAGACATACAAACCGCACACTTTATAGGTACTGAATTTGATTGTGTATTTCTCCACCCTCCCCCACTCCCAACCTCAACACAAGCAAAGCGGTTCAAAGCTTCTGTAGGCTAGGAATTGTCCATTGTGTTGTAACCAAAGCCCTCAAAAAATTTGAGTCCAGGATACCTAAATTTCCAAGTCCACATTGTACTTACTAGGTTAATTTAAGTCTCGGTATACGAATTCAAAATATATTTGAAATATATTTCGAATTATATATGAAATGTTGAATGCCCTCAACATTTTCCAAATGATCTAATATATTTAACAGGTACCCAACACATATTTGTTGAATTACTCATTGTTGTAAATTAATCTTGTAGCAAATGGGTGATAGTGAACCAAGAAAATCTAATTTCATAAAATCATGCTGTCCTTTGCTGTTATCTCTGAACTTCTGCTTTACTTAACTCTGCTACCTTGAAGTATTATTTAATAAGCTAAATCTTCAGGGAAAAACCATTGCCTTACCCTAGCATTCACCCCAGCTAGTGCATGGATCAACAAACTGGCTTGTTGGCCAGAGGAAGCTGATAGTTTCTTAATGGTCAGCCAGCTAAGAATGATTTTTACATTTTTAAAGTTATTTTTAAAAAGTATTAGACAAAGACCATATGTGACCTGCCAAGCCTGAAATACAGTACTGTTTGTTTTGTAGAGGAAAAAACTTGCTGACTTCTGCTGTAGTATATACCTAGAAGCAAAATTGTTGGGTATGTGTCTTCTGCCTACTATGTAATGCCAAATTCCATTCTGGAGAGGTTGTATCCAAATTGGATATAGTTTAGGCTTGCACGTGCAACACGAATTACCCCACAATCTTGCTAGTAATTGAAATGGTCAGATTTTGTTTTGTTTTTAGCTAACGTAGGTACACATACTGTTATTACTATGGTTTTAATTTCTACTTCCCTGATTATGAAGTTAAGTATATTTTCACGTTTACTGGTTCTTTGGCTTTCCTTTCAGTGATGTGCTTGTTCAAACTTATGTCAATTTTCCTTTTGGATTGCTTGCCCTTTCCTGGTTGTTTCTACTTATTTACATATTTCTAGGTACTAATTACCCGTGTCACTTATGTTAAAAACATTTCTGCACTAACTTAGCTTTTCTGGTGCCTCGAACACAAGTTCTTAATGAGTTACTAGTTTAGTATTAGTTTCATGTCTTTTGGTGCTATTTGCAAGTTAAGTATTTTTAAGGGTTATAAACATACTTCTATATTTCCTAGACGCTCATCTGCTGCTTTTCATGTTTTGATTTGTCTTATTTAGAATTGATTTTCTTGTGTGTGGGTGAAGGGTATAGTGTGTAGGCAGATTATGAATTCCATGTATAGCGAATTCCTTTAAAATTATTAATGGTCTTCAGAAGCCTTTTTATAAGCCCCTTTGTTGTCTTTTTTCTACTGATAAACACTATCGAAAATGTTATTTTTAATTTTGTAAGACTCAAGATGGAAAATCATGAGCCAGTTCATACTGTCAAGGAAAAACAAATTTTTGATATCATAACCAGAAAAATCAATCAACTTCCAGAAGCAGAAAGGTAAGATCCTGTCTTAAAGATATCTTTTACCAAATAGATTTTTATTGACTATCTGATATTTATTTGGTTTCAGTGCCTTGAGAAAACCAAGGCCCACCAAGATTAACCACTTAGTTTGAAGTCAAGGCTAGAATTCATGTCTTTGAGCGTATCTAATTATATGATGGTTCTCTTTTTTTTGCATTTGGCTTAGAGGATAGTTAAACATGTATTTGTGGACTCATCTAAATATCAAAACTTCAAAATAGCTTTTCAATTGTTTTCATTTCTATTATTATAATAGCAGCCTAAATAATGCCATTTAACACACACAGCTAGAAAAATCTGAGAACAGCACTGTGGTTAAAAGATCTTTTAAGATATTATTAAATAGAAAGAGGCTATGCAGGAAACATACTGATCTATGACACTGAGTGAACTATAGTCCACTTTCGCAAAATATTTTTTAGATCTAGGCAAGAATGCCTCTTTGGTTAATTTAAACTGAAAATATGAGGCAGAAAAGGATAAAAAAGGAGTCAGCCTGGGGAGAAAGAAGGAACAGTATCTCAGAGGGAATGGCATATGCCTAGGCCACAGGATAACAGTTTGTCATATTTGAGGAACCAGTGTTACTGAAGTACAAGGGAATTGGGCATAAGGTTGAAGGACAGGAAGAGTTTTAAGCAGGCAATGATGTGATCCAGCTGACATTTCTAAAGTACATTCCAGTATTTTTTGAGAAAGAGATTTGAGGGGAAACAAAAGGAAAATCAATACAAAAATGTATAGTAATCCTGGTAAGTGGTGATGGTAGGGTGGTAGCAGTTGAGATAAAATAGGATGGGTTTGGAGTAATTTCATATACCATATATTTCAATGTTAAATTTGGCTTTATATTTTACATGTTTAGTTCATGTACCTAGTTATTTTGTGTGTTTTGATAATGTCATGTATTTCTAGTTGTATAGGCACTTTTTTGAAAATTGGCAAAGGGTCTGCTAGATAACTTGGTACTTACTGAATTGTTAACTAAAAACTATAATTTAAAGCCATACTAAATTAAAATATGGTTGGGATACAGCAAATTTTGCTATTCCAATTCAGTTGCATTCCTTGTTTATTATATTTTACAGTAATGTATCAATATATGAACTATAATATTAATCGTAAAATATATGTGGGCCAATTACCTCTCAGCATTCATTCCTTTGACCAAAATAGAGATGATGTATATTGCTCAGGATTATTATAAAGATAAAATAACTCATTTCAGAGGAAGTGTTCAAATTTCCAGTTTCCACAAAAATAAGTCTTTCGCATTCACATTTTCTATTACTTGGTAGGTTCTTCTCTAGGCTCTTATCACTCTTTAAAAATTATTTTACGTAAGGTACTAGACTGCCTGTCTCCTATTGCCATTACAATTTTAATAGACTTGTGTTATATCTCAAGTTTACATGACTTTCATCTTTTAATAAACTGAAAACAGTGAAGGTAGAAGGTAATCTGTTGTGCCTTCAGCAGCAAGTCTACTGCCTATAGTAACATGATTGAATGACAAGCAACATAATGCCTGCAGTGAAAGGTTAAGAAAAGTAAAACCTCATACAGTGTAGGAAGCTATGTTAGGAATTCCTACAGTCTTAAGATAAGTGTTAACCATAGAAGTCAGAGGGGATATTGTGTGGCTAACCTGGCTGAGTAGTGAGAAATTTTAAGTCGACACCTATGTTGTAGATGGCAAGGCAGGGTAGTCTAGTTAAGCAGTAGTCTTAGGAGTTGAAATTGAAGCACTTTCAATATCTAGCAATAATTTTTGCTATTTTTTCCAAAACTAAAGAATGCTCATGATGTGTTTACCTTAGCTTAAAAACCACTTCCTATCTCAAAATACCATTTTACTCTTATGTCAGTGGGTTGTTATAAGGTACCTGGTGCAGAGTATCCCTTAAATATTACTACTATTCCAGCCCCTCAATCTTAACTCTAATGCTTTGTGGAAGAATGAAAGGAAACAACTCTACCTCTTTAAATGCCTTCTTTGTGTCAGGTGCCATTGAAACCAAAAGGAACTTCTTTGTACTCATTGTCTTGAACTTGTTTATAGTGGGGAACGTCTCAAAATGTGTTGTGCTAGAGAGGTAGGTATTGGGTATTGTGGGAGCCCAGAGGAGAGACATCCAAATCAGACTCTTCAGAAACTCCTCTGTTTTATATAGAATTGTCCTAGAATTATCCTTTGCAGAATCACAAAGTATATTTAGCAAAGTCAAAATTTATCACCATATCCATAATTGTTACCAAATTCAAAAGCCTTTCCAATAAAAATCTGTATGTATAACATAATGAGGTTTTGGTTTTATGAAGCTGTAAGAATATTCCTAAAGTTCCGATAAGTTTGCTAACATATGCCAGAATTGTTGAAGAGTTCCTAACACACAACAAAGCCAAAGAAAACATTACTATTTTTTTTCACCCATTCAGGAATCTACTTGAATATGGATCAACATATATTGGACTTAATGCTGCTCTCTGTGGCCTAATAGCAAACAGTCTTTTTCGGCGCGTCCTAAATGTGACACAGGCTCGTATAGCTGCTGGTTTACCAATGGCAGTGATCCCATTTTTGACAACAGAAGTATCTTACAAGAGTTTTGTAAGTTTACCATTGAATACAGGTAAATTCTATTTCACTACTACCAAACTTTCCTTTGGTATATACTACTTGTACTCTGCATTAATTCTTAAAATGGCAATTTGTATTAGCATGGTATACCAAACAAGTGTCTACACAGCAGTTACATTTCCCTTTATCTAACTCATCTTTCCTATGGTGTTTAAAATAAAAATATTTGGAAACTCAAATTTTTTTAAAAAATTTAGACAGTTCCTTAATGGGAAAAAAAAATTTCCCTTTAAGGGAATAAGACTTTTATATAGTGAGTCTTTCAAAGCACCTAATATACAGACAGGAATTAATAAATATATGAAGACTTGATTTCCTTTTGACAGTTTACCGTGTGCTGAGTGCTTTGAGTATAGTTCATCATGAGTTAAGTTTTTGATGAATGATCTGAAGTAAAAGTATTACTATAAGTGGTGGTGGGGAGGGAGACAGTCCATTTAAATTCTCTTCTGCTAAGAGCTGTTCTAAATTTGTTTAAATTGTATGAGTATTTTGCTTGAGTTCCTATAATCAGTGTGGAAAAACTTTTGATCCAAGGAAACATGTTGCCCAATGAATTAAACTACTGAGGAAAAAAGATATTATACTAATTTGGAAGACATTTTTTGAAGATGGTTATTAATCAGCTACTCCTAATTATTTTAGGTTATCTGTACACATAATTATACCTTCTAACATGCCTGCAGAATTGCATTTGCTGTATTACTGCCTGAAAACTGAGACTCTATATTTAAGGGGAACTTGCATTTTTTGTTATGTTTGTTGGACTGTTATGACCTTCATTTCCAGAACAAATTTATTTCCTAGGTGATCTGAATTGTGAAACCTGCACCATAACACGAAGTGGATTGGTGGGACTTGTTTTTGGTGGTCTGTACCCCGTTTTCTTGGCTATACCTGTGAATGGTGGCCTAGCTGCCAGGTAGGATTCTTTGTTTCTCATAATCATTGAAAAATTATAGTAGTATATAAATGATTACTTAGAAAATGTACAACTCAAAATAGCAAAAACATTTTCTCAGGCAATGTTAACTTTTGATTTGGAAAAGTTAAGACCTGTTTTCTTTCCTCTGAGTTATCAGCTATTCGCAATAATTTGCAAACAGTTCTAGAAATATTTCACACTGTAGTCTTGGGTGTGTAGTTCAGGTTCTTAACCATAACTTACAGTTTAGGTTAATTTATAACTTAGAAAGCTGCTAATACCATTCTAGCATTAAAACTGTGTTATTTACACATTGTTCTTAAGAATTTAAGCACTTCCACCACAGGAAAGTTTCATCAGCAAATGTCTAGCTTTATGCCTTCTACTCCCAAATAACTGTTATTCTCCAATGAACTTTTGTTATCGAGTAGTCTATGCTCTGTGAGCCTCCAGGAGTAAACTGGAGAAAGGGGGAAAAAACCAACAAACCAACAACAAAAGAACCAACCCAAAGGCCAGTCTTAGGAGTAATAATAGCATTGCCTTACTCTTTACCTAGAGTAAACTAGTTAAGATTTCTGTGATTAATATATATATTGGTGTACATCAGTTTGCCACTTGACACAACAATTTTTTCTAGCAAACTAGAATGTTTTCTTAGATGTTTTCTTCTCAATGTTTTCTGACAGGTATGCCTCAGCCCTGCTACCAGAGAAAGGAAACATCTTAACCTACTGGATCAGAATTTCTAAGCCTATCTTTAGAACGATGTTATTTCCTATTTTGCTCCAGACTGGATTTGCAGCATACCTTGGTTCTAGACAGTATAAACTGCTTATAAAGGCTCTTCAGTTACCTGAACCTGGCCTAGAAATTAAGTGATTGTTAAACAAACATGTACACAAAATAAAATGTAAAAATAACCTACTATATAAACATGGATTTATAATTTATCACATGATGTACAACTCTTGAGACCTACAAAAGGCTACATAAGGCAACCAAAGGCTGAATACCAGGTAAAGGCTATCCACTTAAACAAAAATGTAACTTCTCTACTTTGCCTAATAGTATTGCTTCATTGCACTTGCTCTATTCCTCTGTCTATATTAGGCAGAGTTTGGTCTAACACAGACAAAAAATAAACATAAAGTAGTTTACAATGAAGACCTCATAAAAAATCCAAGCTGAAATGAAAACGGAGGTGGGGGGGCAGTATCAGAACAAATGTTATGAACACTTCATTTGCCATAGGTATTATTGATCCATAGAATCTTAGAACATACTTTATCAACCTGCCTCACAGAAGGATCAATTCCAGTATACAGGTAATTCAGGCTCAACTTGAGCTCTTCTAATGATATAGTTACCTATTTTAGAAGTTACCTTATTTATAGCTTTGGAAAGCTATATTCCTGGAAGATTGAGGCCAGTACTTTCTTGGAAGTTTCCATCTAGAGTGGAGCAGTTTTTGGACTCATAGACTCCAAGCCTTTTTCTTTTCTTGATGCTAATCAAGTTAACTAGCCTCTCTGGCCCTCAATATTCATCATTAACCTCACTCAAGATTGGTATTACATAACATGTAATTGGCCTAACAGTGACAGTATCAAGCACTCACATGGTAGCCATATTCTTCTATTGCTCCTGGTTTTGTTTTTGGAAATATCCTCATCTTTCCTCATTTCCTAAGATACAGCATTTCAATTTTAGACATGACCTATTGTGTTGCCCTTCCTAAGACTTCTGATCTCAGTTCTTTAAACCATTTTCTTTTGTGACAGCATCTAAATCAGTACTTTCCAACAGCTTTCTGTGGTGGTATATATCTGATTGACAATGTTAGCTATTAGCCATTGAGCACCTGAAACAATGACTAATGCAATTGAGTAACTTAATTGTACATTTTAATTAAATTTTTAGCCACATGTGGCTAAAGGCTAAAGTATTGGACAGCACCTATCTAGACACACTTTCCTTATGAAACAAGTCGGATGTACCAAACAAATTAGTACATATTCTAATATGATCTAGTACATATTAGTACACAGATCATATTCACAAGCATCTTAACTGTTCCTCCCAAATATAATGACATAACTGTTAAGGAATCTTATGTTACTTAAAATCATATGAAAGAACAGAGCCTGCCATCTAGGAAAGGCACCTTGGTGAAATAGGATTTCTCCAGTGCAGCCAAAGATTAAAATTTAAGTAGAATTAAAATATACATTTTTAATTTTTCAGAAAGCAAAGATTTGTTCTTTCAGCAGGTACTTAAAATGTATTATTCCCTACCAAACTTATACAAGAAATGATGCCAATTAAAAGGCAAACTATTTTACAATGGATATTCTTTGGATTACCCCTGGCTGGTGTGGCTCAGTGGACTGAGCACTGGACTGCGAACCAAAGGTTCAATGGTTCAATTCCCCAACAGGGTTGCAGGCCAGGTCTCCAATAGGAGGCATTTGAGAGGCAACCACACAGTGATGTTTCTCTCCCTCTTGCTCCCTACCTTCTCTAAAAAAATCTTTGGAAAAAAATTTAAAAGGAAAGTTATTTTACAAGCTAAAATACCAAGCTAAAGCTCTGACCCCAAATTATACACTGTATCTGCATTCTATCACTTTTATTTAAATCAGAGTTATACTTGTCACCTTGAGGGGGTTGGGGGACAATGAATTAAAATCCCTGACTTCAAAAATAAGAAACCCAAATTACTAAGTTTAAAACCCACTGATGTTAATTAGTGCTGTTTCCTTACATATCCTTAAACACCTACAGTGTTTACTCCCTAGCATACCATTTATAAATGAATACAAGAATTTACAGTGGTTTCAGGATTTCTCTCTAGTATGTCCTTTAGATGGTATATTTCTTAAATCATCTTTTCAATTTAAATGGGCAACAAGCAAAAGAGCATTGTTATTCTCAATCTGTTGCTATACATCTAACTGAAATTTTTGGTCAGGGCAGATACATATGAATCTGCATTTTAAGGAAATAGTCATTTGTAGCAAATACCTAAAAAACAGTGCCTCAGGAAAATAGTTTTTAGTGTTTCAGTTCAGTGACAGTAAACTATTTAAATCTTCTACAATTTACTTATAATTCTTTGGCTTTAAGTAGAAAAGATTCATATATTATTTTAAAATTAATTTGCAAACCCCAACACTAAGCCAGAAGTGGGAAAGGAGGGAGTCTAGGAAACTGACCTGAATGGGTAAATAAGAAAGGTACATACACAATTTGGAGGCACATTCTAAATAAAGTTGGCCCACTAATAAAATTCAAATCTGTCCACTTTAGCACAACTACACAATGTTCAAACACCATTAGCAACCAGATTTTTAAATTAACCCAAAACTGAGCAAAATATTCTCATCAAAACAAGTAACTTTGGATCAACAAGATTTTAAAATATTACTTAAGTCTGTTGTAAACTGGCTTCTTTTTTAAAAGTGTGCTAAATACCTGAGTAACAAATCCTGAAATGTACAAACTGGGGAAAGGTAAAAAATTAGGAATTAAAACACTACTGTCAGTAACCAAAGCAATGAAAAAGGCAAGTTAGTGAGCATTTTTCTATTAACATATCTAAAAAATATATCTTTCTAATATCACGATTTATTATCCTAATTATAATTTACTTTCTGAATAAAATTTACAGTATTTCCAGTTTAGTTTTTCTGCATTTCAAAACTGGAAGTAAATGACTATTTGAAGTCTAGGCTAGAGCTCAGTCTGGTATTAAAAGACAATAGGGAGTAACCAGACAGACTACTGTGGTATTCAAGTTCAAATATATAAAATATACTGTGCTGGCCAAACAGAACACTACAAGTTTCTAATGAAAGCCCTCCCTCATTTTGATTCCTGGCTTAGGTGGCAACTACCTGGCTTCTGAAAAAGAAATCAGCACAATAAAATATAAAAATAAAAACATTTGGGAGGGTCTCAAAACTGTTTTGAAAGTAAGTCTGAGGAAAAAAAATCCAAAAACTTGAAAATATTTTCCTACCTAGTTATCAGGTTGTTTATATCTTAAAAACCTGACCAAGTTAATAAGACCTTTAAACCTTCAAAATGATGAACTTGGTAATCACATATTTCAAGAGATAATTACTCATTATCTATGAATCACCCACTTTGTGTTCCATCAAAGTGGTATAAATGCCAAATAGTGCTGATGTCTAATCATTGGTTGTGGAATTACAACCATCTGTACTGTTTGCACTGTAAAAGCACCTATTCAGTCACGTAAGTATAAACCACTAGGTTTATACATACCACTGGGAATGCTCTTTGCTGCCAGGTATAACAGACACTGAATACACTTAGAATACAAGATGCTGAATGGATTTAATAAGGTTTTATATAATACCATACAATAACCAAACTGTAGTTATGACTATGGAGAGGAAAGAAATGAGAGCCTCTGTCCTATGCTCCCCCACTTCTATCACCTGCATACTTCCCAAATGTAAGATAGCACAGCTCAATCTAGACCAGGTGAAAGAATGTATTAATATAATCCAACAAAAATGAAATAAAACAATCCAGAGTTTTGAGTGTTTTTTCACACTGTAATAAACTGGAAAAATGTTTCAATTAAGTAAAACAACCATATTCCATGAAAAAAACCACTCCCATCATCCAGAATACTAAAGCCCTTACATAACACTAGATAAATTTTAATTTATGTAAAACAGTAGAAACTAGTATACCATTCAATAAAAATCTCAAAATATTCAAAAGGAAGTATCAAGTACTCAGAGAAAGCTCAATAAGCCAAAACCTCAGAATCCACACATCCTGGTATTACTATGAATTGCAATTAACTACCCACATAGTTAATCATAAATCAACTTTTTCAAAGATATACAGACAATGAATCTACTTAAAAAGGTTACTCTTTATAGTTAAGGACTGTACATTAACTTTCATATTCTACTTGGCAAGATCTATCTGTACTTCAGATTATTTCTCATGTTCCAGGAAATAAATACAAACTCATGATATGCCTGTGATCACTGGTGGCCTGTTTATGCAATTCCACTCCACTAAATATAATTCCATAGAAAGTGCTCTTGATAATATAAAGAACCTAATAATAACTCCTTGATGAAATACTATAATTCTCTTCTCCAATGGTTACAAGCTTTTAAAAAGTATACGAAGAACTGAATATCACTCCTATGAAAGACAAAAAAAAAGTCTAATTTTGTTCCAAAATTAACTTAGTCTCATGTATTTCTATTAAGTCTTTCAAGGATTCCAGAGAATCTTTTCATATCTCCATTTCTGGAAAGTGAAATCTGGAAAGTGAAACCAGTATAGAAGTAATTTGGGAACTTGAAAATGGCATTCATTTTTTTCAGCAGATGCCAAATATTTGACCGACATGGCTCCCACAATTACTTTGTTATCATCAGTCCAGTCAGTTAACAGGTTGTAGGAAAAGATTCGTTTTTTGCAGACACTGCTAAGCTGTTTAAAGAGAAGAGAGAGAGATTAATTTAGTGATTATAAAATGTACAAATTATTTAAATATTCTGAACACTTTTTGTTGGCTTATATCAGAAGTGTGACTACATTTTAAGAAACATGGACATTTTAAGTTAAGTCAGGTCAAGGAAGTGCAGAAACAGTAAGTCAATATGATAGAAATAGCAGATCAATATGATGTGTTAGTTCAATTAATGTATGAATTCCTGTCACCATCAGAGGACAAATATTAAAAAGCTGTATCTTTAAGTCTAGTTTATCATTTTGCCATAGAGACAAAATTAGGAGGAAAAAAATGTTGCCAAAATACTAAATTGTTTTCATCCATTACAGTAAACAGCCAAACCTGAAAATTTCAAAATAATCCATATATTCCAGAAATCACCTTTATCTATTATTCATCAGAACACAA